GTGTATTTTTGTAAATGCTTTTGTAAGAGTGTATTTTTGGGGGTCTGATATGGACTAATGTAATTTACATTATTCCTTATGGGAACAAATTTGTTCTGTAACGGCACTTGAACAGCCTTCTGGAACGAATCTCAGCCGATATTCGAGGTATCACTGTATATGATAAAACTTACACAGACCTAATTGACATCGGTATCATACTATATAGAAAACCCCTTGTTATGCAGACCATTTCAGGCAAATTTTTTTTTTTTTTATTATCACACCGGCCGATTCCCACCAAGGCAGGGTGGCCCGAAAAAGAAAAACTTTCACCATCATTCACTCCATCACTGTCTTGCCAGAAGGGTGCTTTACACTACAGTTTTTAAACTGCAACATTAACACCCCTCCTTCAGAGTGCAGGCACTGTACTTCCCATCTCCAGGACTCAAGTCCGGCCTGCCGGTTTCCCTGAATCCCTTCATAAATGTTACTTTGCTCACACTCCAACAGCACGTCAAGTATTAAAAACCATTTGTCTCCATTCACTCCTATCAAACACGCTCACGCATGCCTGCTGGAAGTCCAAGCCCCTCGCACACAAAACCTCCTTTACCCCCTCCCTCCAACCCTTCCTAGGCCGACCCCTACCCCGCCTTCCTTCCACTACAGACTTATACACTCTTGAAGTCATTCTGTTTCGCTCCATTCTCTCTACATGTCCGAACCACCTCAACAACCCTTCCTCAGCCCTCTGGACAACAGTTTTGGTAATCCCGCACCTCCTCCTAACTTCCAAACTACGAATTCTCTGCATTATATTCACACCACACATTGCCCTCAGACATGACATCTCCACTTCCTCCAGCCTTCTCCTCGCTGCAACATTCATCACCCACGCTTCACACCCATATAAGAGCGTTGGTAAAACTATACTCTCATACATTCCCCTCTTTGCCTCCAAGGACAAAGTTCCTTGTCTCCACAGACTCCTAAGTGCACCACTCACTCTTTTTCCCTCATCAATTCTATGATTCACCTCATCTTTCATAGACCCATCCGCTGACACGTCCACTCCCAAATATCTGAATACGTTCACCTCCTCCATACTCTCTCCCTCCAATCTGATATTCAATCTTTCATCACCTAATCTTTTTGTTATCCTCATAACCTTACTCTTTCCTGTATTCACCTTTAATTTTCTTCTTTTGCACACCCTACCAAATTCATCCACCAATCTCTGCAACTTCTCTTCAGAATCTCCCAAGAGCACAGTGTCATCAGCAAAGAGCAGCTGTGACAACTCCCACTTTGTGTGTGATTCTTTATCTTTTAACTCCACGCCTCTTGCCAAGACCCTCGCATTTACTTCTCTTACAACCCCATCTATAAATATATTAAACAACCACGGTGACATCACACATCCTTGTCTAAGGCCTACTTTTACTGGGAAAAAATTTCCCTCTTTCCTACATACTCTAACTTGAGCCTCACTATCCTCGTAAAAACTCTTCACTGCTTTCAGTAACCTACCTCCTACACCATACACTTGCAACATCTGCCACATTGCCCCCCTATCCACCCTGTCATACGCCTTTTCCAAATCCATAAATGCCACAAAGACCTCTTTAGCCTTATCTAAATACTGTTCACTTATATGTTTCACTGTAAACACCTGGTCCACACACCCCTACCTTTCCTAAAGCCTCCTTGTTCATCTGCTATCCTATTCTCCGTCTTACTCTTAATTCTTTCAATTATAACTCTACCATACACTTTACCAGGTACACTCAACAGACTTATCCCCCTATAATTTTTGCACTCTCTTTTATCCCCTTTGCCTTTATACAAAGGAATTATGCATGCTCTCTGCCAATCCCTAGGTACCTTACCCTCTTCCATACATTTATTAAATAATTGCACCAACCACTCCAAAACTATATCCCCACCTGCTTTTAACATTTCTATCTTTATCCCATCAATCCCGGCTGCCTTACCCCCTTTCATTTTACCTACTGCCTCACGAACTTCCCCCACACTCACAACTGGCTCTTCCTCACTCCTACAAGATGTTATTCCTCCTTGCCCTATACACGAAATCACAGCTTCCCTATCTTCATCAACATTTAACAATTCCTCAAAATATTCCTTCCATCTTCCCAATACCTCTAACTCTCCATTTAATAACTCTCCTCTCCTATTTTTAACTGACAAATCCATTTGTTCTCTAGGCTTTCTTAACTTGTTAATCTCACTCCAAAACTTTTTCTTATTTTCAACAAAATTTGTTGATAACATCTCACCCACTCTCTCATTTGCTCTCTTTTTACATTGCTTCACCACTCTCTTAACTTCTCTCTTTTTCTCCATATACTCTTCCCTCCTTGCATCACTTCTACTTTGTAAAAACTTCTCATATGCTAACTTTTTCTCCCTTACTACTCTCTTTACATCATCATTCCACCAATCGCTCCTCTTCCCTCCTGCACCCACTTTCCTGTAACCACAAACTTCTGCTGAACACTCTAACACTACATTTTTAAACCTACCCCATACCTCTTCGACCCCATTGCCTATGCTCTCATTAGCCCATCTATCCTCCAATAGCTGTTTATATCTTACCCTAACTGCCTCCTCTTTTAGTTTATAAACCTTCACCTCTCTCTTCCCTGATGCTTCTATTCTCCTTGTATCCCATCTACCTTTTACTCTCAGTGTAGCTACAACTAGAAAGTGATCTGATATATCTGTGGCCCCTCTATAAACATGTACATCCTGAAGTCTACTCAACAGTCTTTTATCTACCAATACATAATCCAACAAACTACTGTCATTTCGCCCTACATCATATCGTGTATACTTATTTATCCTCTTTTTCTTAAAATATGTATTACCTATAACTAAACCCCTTTCTATACAAAGTTCAATCAAAGGGCTCCCATTATCATTTACACCTGGCACCCCAAACTTACCTACCACACCCTCTCTAAAAGTTTCTCCTACTTTAGCATTCAAGTCCCCTACCACAATTACTCTCTCACTTGGTTCAAAGGCTCCTATACATTCACTTAACATCTCCCAAAATCTCTCTCTCTCCTCTGCATTCCTCTCTTCTCCAGGTGCATACACGCTTATTATGACCCACTTCTCGCATCCAACCTTTACTTTAATCCACATAATTCTTGAATTTACACATTCATATTCTCTTTTCTCCTTCCATAACTGATCATTTAACATTACTGCTACCCCTTCCTTTGCTCTAACTCTCTCAGATACTCCAGATTTAATCCCATTTATTTCCCCCCACTGAAACTCTCCTACCCCCTTCAGCTTTGTTTCGCTTAGGGCCAGGACATCCAACTTCTTTTCATTCATAACATCAGCAATCATCTGTTTCTTGTCATCCGCACTACATCCACGCACATTTAAGCAACCCAGTTTTATAAAGTTTTTCTTCTTCTCTTTTTTAGTAATTGTATACAGGAGAAGGGGTTACTAGCCCATTGCTCCCGGCATTTTAGTCGCCTCATACGACACGCATGGCTTACGGAGGAAAGATTCTTTTCCACTTCCCCATGGACAATAGAAGAAATAAAAAAGAACAAGAGCTATTTAGAAAAAGGAGAAAAACCTAGATGTATGTATATATATATATGCATGTGCGTGTCTGTGAAGTGTGACCAAAGTGTACGTAGGAGTAGCAAGATATCCCTGTTATCTTAGCGTGTTTATGAGACAGAAAAAGAAACCAGCAATCCTACCATCATGCAAAACAGTTACAGGTTTTTGTTTCACAGTCATCTGGCAGGACGGTAGTACTTCCCTGGGTGGTTGCTGTTAATTTTATCCCCAGGATATGACCCATGCCAGTTGGCATGGGTCGTATCTACTTACTGCTAACTAAACATGGAAGATGTCTTAAGGAAACAGGCCCAAGTGTTTCCACCCATACCTGGAATCGAACCATGGACCTTATTGTGTGAGCTGAGTGCACTGCCAATTGAGTTATAGGATACCCAAATGTATTCCTCCTCTTTCTGTGACTTTTTATAATGATTGACTATCAAAAGGATACGAGTTAGGTTAGCAAGCCAAGTGAGAAATAAGCGAGTCTCCTTTTCACCTGCGGCATATGTTAAGTTAGAAAGCGCTTTTTTTGGTTATTAACCTTGGCTATTTCCGTTGGAAACATCTTTGTTCTTCCTAAGGATACAAGCTGCAAAAGCTGGTTAACTGTTTGCTGCTTAATTACTACTAAGTGAATAGAGGCAACAGTGGAAAGACTTACTATATCTCTCAAAACCTTCTAATCAAACCTGGGTCCTCTTGGCTTTGAGGAGGAATGTTCTGCCACTGAATTACTTGTCACCTATTCATCTGACAGTAAATATGTACATATATTTAGGAGTTAGGTAGGCTGGTGTGGGTTGCATACTAGGAAGAGGCCCCATTAGAAATAAGCTATACCGTTCTTTTTGGTGTTTTCTTAGTTGAGGCATTTTTTACTTGATTGTATTGTACATTCTAAAAAATTTTTATTGTCCATGTTGTTTGTTTGGTATATATTACCGTTGTTTTTATGGGTAATAACCTTGTCAGTTCCATTTTTCGTGTGTTTTATCACACGATATTATATTAATGTGTACTAAAAAAAAAGCACCAAACATGATAAATTTCTATTTGAGTTACAAACCCCTGCGATTAATTTAAAAATAGCTGCTACATGTTGACATTAAAATTGAGTTTCTCTATGAAGACAGAAAATGTCTTCATATTGACAGTATTTGAATTTCAGGGTGAATTTGGATCATTTGTGTGTTTTTTTTTTTTTTTTTTTCTTTCTTAAAACTGTATTTCTTTCCATGAATACTGTACTTCCTTTCCATGGATCTGGGACACTAACGATTATAAAGGATAAAGTTGTAAATAAGTAATGCAAGGCTAAAAGTAGCTAAGTCCTATTTTGTCTTTTACTATATATGCATTAATTTTGTAGTAAATGCATTTTCTTTTTTTAGGTTTAATTGACAAATTGTTATTACTGTGGCAACTTAAGCTGAGGCAGTAAAAAACTAAGGATGTTATCTGGAGGCCATGGAGAAGTGAACCCCAATTCGTCATGGCATAGCAGTCGTGGTGCATGGCTCTCTTACCTAGCAGGTGTCTTGGCACTACACCTCTTTCTTCTGTCCATACCATTGATTTCTATACCAACAGCCTGGACACTCACTAATGTTATACACAACCTGGTGAGTCTTAAGCACTTGTTTTTGTCATCGATCCATGCACTAATGTTGATACTGTACGTGTTGTATACAGTGTGCAGTACAGTAACTCGCTCGTATTCACAACTTTGGTATTTGCCAAACTTAGTTTTTCAGAGTATTCTTATTTTGAACCAGGGAAGTGCAGTACAGTACTGCCACTTTGTCATTCATATGTGAAGCTGAAGCCTGTTAAATATTATGCATCGGCATGACTGTAGAACTTTTCTGTCTCGTGAACATACAAAATGACTGGCAAATTTTATAAATATTACATGTATCTACATACTTGCATTCAGTATATAGTAAACACTACTTTCCTGTGTTAATAGTTTTTTAGGTAGTGTGCTGTGGCATCTGCAGAAAGTTAGTTTATTAATAGATGCAATGAGGGGAATGTACCAGAGTGTAGTGGTGCTAACATTTTTGTATGATGTGAAGCATGGTCTTGCAATGAGAACACTGGAGGCAGAGCAGAAGTGGTGTGTTTACCTGGAGTCAGCCTACCTGGAGGGTGTTCCAGGGGTCAACACCTCCACGATCCAGTCCATGTGAATGTTATGAAGATAATAAAGTGTGAAGAAATTTGAAGAGTGTGTGGTGGTATGAAAGATATAATAAGGAGCTGAGGAGGGGGTTGTTGAGATGGTTCTGTCATTTTGAGAAGATAGAGTAAGATAGATTGGGTATAAATTTGGGATGAACAGAAGGTGTATGGGATGTCCTAGGCAGGGTTAAGAATGTTTGCTGTTGCCTGTGTATATAAATATTCATTTACAAAATAGCCCTGTTTTAAAAATAGTTGTCTATGCAGATTGTAGGTTTCATTGAGGGTACAGTTCTTTGTCAATACAGTAGAACCCCCATATCTGCAGATATGGTTTCTGCTGTGTCAGCTATCCACAGTTTACGAATATTCATTTGTAAAAGACATTATGTACAGAAATAAAAATGACAACAATATGAAATGATAAAACCTGTGGGCTTTGAGGATCAGTAAAGTTAACGTGTGGGGGCAGCGAGAAGTGTGTAAGAAAGAATTAGAATATTTCCGAGGAATAGATTGTTACATGGGTCGTGAAATAGAATCGGTAGGAGGAGGCGTGTTGGTGTCCATCGGGGGTGTCGTCTCTGCTATATAGCTGGAGATAGCATCTAACATCTCGGTTGATAAGGAAGCCAATGAAGCCATGATGTCAGAGACAGGAGACACAGTGCAAGTGAAAGTTGGAGTAACTATGGAGGCATCCAAAGAGGTCTGAGGAGGGTGGGGAGTATGAGCATGGAGAGATGCACTGGCTGGGGGAGAAGAGTCCTGCAGTGTAACAGGAGAGGAAGGAGGGCGGAGGGCAACTGTGGAAGAAGATGGGGGGGGGGGACAGGGGAAGAGGGAACTACACTAGGGAGAAGGTGAACCTCTATTTTTGTGTGAGAGCTGGAAAGAGGGTGAGAACTAGTCTCCGAGGTAGAAGATAGATTCTGGACAGGAGATGGCCGCCAAGAAAGTGTAGGTCTGTGAGGTCTAGTAGACTGAGAAGTAAGCGAGCGAGATGAAGAAGTAGAGGTAGAAAGTGGTGCGGAGGTAGGAGTGTCAGAGGGTAAAACTGCCAAAGCATTAGAAACTGGGGTGACTCCGGAAGACACGGACGCAGAGGGATTGGGAGGTGAGAGGTGGGAGGACTGTCGAGGTTGGAGGTCTGCGGGCTACTCGAGCATACGGAACACGAGGAAGTTTTCCTTGAAGGCGGAGCTAAGAGACTGCCATAGTGTAAGTAAGGCCCTTACACTCTTTAAGGTAACTGATCTCCTGTTCATTACGATAGACCTGTCACCAGTGGGAAAAGGAAGGATGGGGGTTCCTTGCAATTGAGACAAGAGGGAGGAAGACTACAAGACATATTGGAATGCTCTGCTGCACTGCAGATCGGGCATTCCACCGCAGATCTACAGTGTTTAGCGGGGTGCCCAAAACGCCGGCAATTATGACACTTTTGGGGGATCAGAACTACTTGACACACCTCTAAACGATGGCTCGCAATATAGACAGAGAACGGAAGTTCACGGCAATCGAAGGTTAAACGAGCGATGTTACTAGGAAAGCACCTTCGCCCATGAGCGGGCAGGATATATGTATCTACCTTTAGAATAGGGAGGTTTTGAAGGACTAATTGTTCTAAAATATCATTGCCGCAAGACAAAAAAAAATCACTGTGCAATGGTGCGCGGTAAGACCACAGTACCACTGCAAGAATTAAGAGTAGCGTGCTTACGAACAGTGACCGGTATGTTATCTATGGAAGTGATGCAGGAGAGAGCATGAGCTTGCTCTGAATTCTGTATTTACGACACACTCGCTGCTTCAAAGAGTGTGGAAAGATATATTTTGGCCAACGTGCCTTAATAGAGTTTTATCAATTCCATGATCAGACAGATAATCCGTTTGAGACATTGTTTGTAAAGAAAAGAATTTTGTCCATTGCGCACTCGTTAGCCCGGTACACAAAGGTAGTGAGTGTCATGTAGGTCGTTTTTGAGTGATCATTGATGAACTGTCATCAGTAGGTTGTCTTGGATGTTTAGGAGTAGTACCGCAGGTGGTCTGACCCGAGGGAGGTGGGTGATCCGAAAATTGTCGCACGGTATTTGGGGGAAGCCGGACGCATTGTGAAATGCATGCTAGAAGTAGCGACATGAACAGAAATGGGTGACATCTCAGCACCTGAAGCAGGTGACGAAGTGTCACCAGCAGAAGGTACAGAGGTATGAGAAGAGTTGAAAGAATGGACCGATTACGAAGCCGGGTTAGAACAAGGTGTGGGATCAGAATGGGTCCTGGGAGGAGGAAGGGTTTCACTAGATGAAGACACCATAATAATAGATGCATCTTCTGTGGTATCTCCTTTCTTGTTATTTTAAGAAAAAAAAAAAGGAAAGGAAAAAAAGGAACAGCGGAGGGACAGTTGCTAGGAGGCATGGAGGGGCCAAAAGCTCGCCCCCCATCTGAGAGGGCCTCGAGCCCAATGGTGGTGAAGATGCAGCATGGAACCCGTGCCATACCCTACCCTTCACGCCAGTAAACCAGCACTCCGGGATAGCAGCCTCACATCTACCAAGCTACCTCAGTGGACAAAACAAAGGGCGGTCGGAAATCCGCCACAAGGCACACCCCCTTCAGCTTCCACCTCCCAGAACCGACAGGCAGCTTCCGGGGAGACACCCATTACCCGAAGGGCACCCCGCCCTCTTCCTGGAAATCTGGGAAGGGTAGCAAGGCACCTTCAAATAATTCAGATTCTACGGCAAACCACACCACCCCCGAGGGACCTCACGGAGTGGGATGAACTCCAGCACGCTACCTCCTACCTAGAAACTGTAATGCCAGAGGGGAGGACCCCAGAGGCTATAAACGGGATGGGAAACAAGGGGAGGATGGGGAGAGGGGAGGAAAGGGGAAAAAAAGGGTAGTATGGGGAGGGTGGGGTAGGGAAGGGAGGATTGGGGGGTAATTAGGTTCGGTCAGAGGAAGAAGACCAAGAGGTCCAGTTCCTCAGACCGATAGCATCTTTACCGCTGCAAGGAGCCCCCCTTAATCCTTTGACTGTTTCGGTCATATATATACGTCTTGCAAGCCACCGTGTTTGATGTATACATGCTCAAAAATTCTAGCGGCTTCAAATCAAGCAGGAGAAAGCTGGTAGGACCACATGTGAGAGAATGGGTCTGTGTGGTCAGTGTGTACCATATAAAAAAAATCCTGCAGCACGCAGTGCATAATGAGAAAAAAAACTCCGACCTTTTTTTTTTTTTTTTTTTTAATTAAAATGCAGACTTTGTAGTCTATTTTCGTATAGTATTTATGGTTGTATTCTTATTTTCTTGGTTTCAGTTGATAGAATGGAAACATATAGAAATAGAGGTGATTTTGATTGGTCTTACTATGAAAAGAACCTTGAAATGGAGCTCAAAGTAGGGGAAATGTTTGATTTTTGCAGATGTTCAAAAGTAAACAAATGATGTCATTTTCAATAAATGTCCAAGTAGCCATTCTAATATGCAGTCATGAATGGGTTGACATTACTTATACAATTATTACAATATTACAGTAGTCTGCATAAGAGTAAATCTTCTATTTTTTGTTTGAATAAAAATTCAAAATAGAAAGCAATATCAGAGGGGCCTGGAGACGTGACTGATGAACAAAGAAAATGTTGTTTTAGAGCCAGGAATATTTGCATTGTTCATTCTGGACTATTTTGAAATTGTCACATTTTTTAATTTTCATGAAACTGGCTAAATTGCAAATTTTTTCTGACCATGTTATTGGGTAGGTGAAATCGGTAAATGGGCAGTTTCTTGTACTCAATCGATAGAAAAAATGGAGTTCTAAAGAAATAGCTATGAATTTGGTCGACTGGAACAATGGAATTAGCTGAAAAGTGGGCGAAATCGCTGATTCATAAATATCGCCGAGGTCGCTAATTTCGCGAGACTGTAATTCCATCAGTTTTCCATCAAGTTTCGTTCTTTTGGTGTCATTACAATCGGGAAAAGATTCTCTATCATTTCATAAGAAAAAATAATTTTTCTTTTCGGAAATTTTGCGACACCAGGAGACACCTCAGGATTTGGGGTTGCGACAGTCAAGGGGTTAATGTGGTTTGAACGAGACTTAGCTTTTTTCTGTCTCACTTTCCTAATGTATTGACAATAATATTAGTTTTATTTTTTTTTCAGGCAAATTACCTATTTCTTCATCAGATTAAAGGGACTCCATGGCAGCTACTAGATCAAGGAAAATCTCGGCTGATGACTGCATGGGAACAAATTGATTATGGACAGCAGTATACAACGACTCGCAAATTTATTACAATCATTCCCATTGTCTTGTAAGTGAAGTATAAAATATTGTTGAAGATTTTGCCTGTGAAATTCTCTAATTTTGGAATGTGGTATTAGGAATGCATTCAGCAATACAGTGGTACCTTGACTTATGAGTTGAATTCATTCCATGACCGAGCTCATAACTCAATTTTCTCGTACATATATCAAATGAATTTTCCTCATTGACATTAATTGAAATGCCATTAATCCGTTCCAGCCCCCAAAAAACAACCCCAATTTTTTTTTTTTTTGTTACAGGCTTTTAAATAAGAAAAATGTATTTATAAATAAATATAGCATAAAAACATAAAACATAATAAAAGTGAATGGAAAGAAACACTGGTTTTATAAAGTGTATTTACCTTGGAGATCAGACGACTTGGGTTAACGGAAGATGCTGGTGGAAGTGGAGGGTGGAAAAGATAGGCAGAGGAGATTGGAGGAGTTTGTTTCATTTCGTGCTTTTTCAGTCGCTTTCATTAGTCATAAACTATTGCTTAATCGTTTAACTTACTTGCTACACTCTTAATGATACACTTTATTGCTGAACTTAATTGCTACAAATTCTGAGGCATATCACAATGGTTAGAAAAAAGAAATTTTCCAAAATAACTACACAAAAAGCACAAAACACGACCACAACACCAGAGAGATGTGGGATGAGGTAACCACATGTACTGAACGAGAGATGCAGGATGCTGGGTGGATGTTGTGACGTTCGCTGCGCCAACTACTGGCGGCATATCTGAAGCTCACTCGTAACTCGGATTTTGGCTCGCAACTCAAAGTAAAAAATCGACCGAGCGACGGCTCGTAACTTGGAAAACTCATAAGTTGGTGCACTCGTAAGTTGAGGTCCAATGTACATATTTTATAGTTACTGATCAGTTTTGATGAAAATATTGTAGATGTATTAGTGATATTGGATTATGAAATTTAATTCCAACTGGAGCAATAGTTTTGGCATTATTATTACAGTATTTTATATTTATGATCCTCTTAACCCTTCTCTCTTGGCATGCAACTGATGCACATCTCATACAGTCCATCCTAATTCCGAACGTTGTTATAGTATGGTTTTCGAAAATGATAATAAAGTTCTGTATAAGGTATGAATGTGTTTTCCAAAAGTTTCATAAAATTTTGTTGACATTTAGTGTAACCCTGTCTCTGTGGGACACAGCCAAAGTGTTAAAAAAAAAAAAATTAATGTAAATAGCTTGACTGAAATCTTTAGAAATAATTGACTTGTACATGTTCGAGTAAAGATAAATTGCTCAGTTATAATATTTTACTTCGAATAATTGTGTAAAGAAATCAGTGTCATGCAGAAGGCTTAATTAACATATTTTCTGGCGTTTTATCCATTGCCTTGTCGAGGTGAGAAGACCTCCATTACAGGATACATTGCCAATCATTAGAGTCAAGAATGAGAGTACTTCTGTAATCTTTTGACTACCGCCCACAGGATGGGTATGGGATGCATAATAAAGACATTAAACTAACAAACTCTTGAGTGTAGTAAGGTACACAAATAACCCGCACATAAAAGAGAGAAGCTTACGACGACGAAACGTCGTCGTAAGCTTCTCTTTTTTAATGTGCAGGTTATTTGTGTATCGTTCCAGTCACGGTATTGTGCCTTTTTTTGTTATTTACTTGTGTAGTAAGGTATTGATCAGTGTGCTGTATTAGTATTTAATTCCTGTTTATTTTTTGTTGCAGATTTCTTCTAGCCAGCTTTTACACCAAGTATGAGTTTAATCACTTTGCCATCAACTTTGCAACTCTTCTCATGGTACTTATCCCAAAATTGCCACAATTCCACATGGTTCGACTGTTTGGCATCAACAAGTATTAAGTGTGCCAAGACAAAGTACAGCAGTGCAGTTAAAACATCAGATAACCAATATGATGAAAAAAGGTATTAGTCTGGAGAATCATGATGCAGAGGATTTATGTACCTAGTAAGGTTAACTATGAAAGAAAGTTATATATAGTAGTGATTTATTTATTGAAAGATGTACAGTACAAATGTTAAATTTACTTTTGAATAATCTCAACAGCTGTGACATCCATATGTAAAAAATGTACTGTATGTAGATAAATGTGTAGATATTACCTCTCCAACATTTTTATGGACAGATATACATGAACCTCTCATTGTTGTAAATTCCTGTATATTCTAATATATTTTAGCTACCAATTTTTTTTTTCTAAAAGACATTACTACCATCCAAAACTTAGTTTTACATATTTGTTATATACTACTTCATTTCATACAACTGCTGAATATGTTCAAAAGTACCAATCTTTCTCCCATTTAGGAGAGACTGAAATTTTTTCTTGGGCTAAATCAGACTTTTAGTTTCTTGTTCACAAATGACATGCATGTTCTATATTACAACAGTTCCTGTGCTAAGCCACAAGGGCTATACAGCACTGCAACCTTTTAATAATAAACACATTTTTGGGCGTGTAACTAACACTACATGCAGTATATTTACTCATTTGTTCCATCTTTAGTGTGTTATAGCAAAAAGTACTTAAGTTACAGACAATTGATATTGTGTCACTGACAAAGTAAAGCAAACATTAATTGCTGTAAGCTTTTACCAAAATTACATTGCCAATTTTTTTTTTATTATCACACTGGCCGATTCCCACCAAGGCAATTATTGATGTGAATTTTAAAAGAAAATTCACTTGCTGATAGTTGTTTCAAGGCATATTTGAAAATAATTGTTTGCTTTAATATCAACTATTTAAATACAAGTATTACATATCCAGGTAAGTGACAAAATAGAACATTATCATATTGTCTGATGTAATATCTTGTAACATAAAAACTGTATCTACCATGCAAGTCTGATTCAGAACTGTCTCATGGCTACTGCTTCTGTATTCGCAACAAGGCAGATGTCTTGTTTGATACTGAATGGCATAAAGTTGTATCCTAGTAAAAATATTGAAGACACACTAAAGCTTCAGCACTGTATTACAACTTAGTTCAAAATAGAAATTTTCCGTATGCAAGCTACTTTCAAGATTAGAGATCTTTTTATTTATCTGCAGTGACTTGTTGCCCATCAAGGTAGGGTGATCCAAAGAAGGAAAGATGTTCACCAGAATTGCAAGGACATTATTTTTTCATTGCTATATTTAAGAGGTAAGTGCTCACCCTGTAGGTATCATACAGTACCTGGGAATTCTGAAGCAATCAGGTTAGGTCCAAGGAAGGGGAGGACAAGTCTAAGCCCATGCATGGAGAGCCCTACCCCAGCCTCAAGGAATCTCCCTTGAGGGGTATAAATACAATATGTTTTCTTCTTTGGGTCATCCTGCCTCAACAGGAGACTGACATTCAGTTAAAAAAAAATTACCCTTCCACTCACTCAACCCTCAAGTTTCTTTGCTACTTTTTGTAATCTTGGTTTAAAGTTATCTTCTGTCAGTGCTCTTATCTAATCACATCAGATAACATTCATCATTGTAGTTGATGACTTGCTAAATCCTTTTCTAATTAAGGAATGTATGGGATGTAGAACACAGGTAAAAATGCCTACTCATGAATCCTATCACACTAAAGTGTAGCTTGAGTAAATATTGAATATTAACTTATATCACGAATGTCTGTGTAGAATAAATGCAGCATATTTATTGGCTTCATCATAAAAAGCACTGTGCGATCCTTGAATTTAGTGCTTAGTTGTGTGCTTATAATGATATAAAAGGCAATGTTTTTTTCAATAATAATAGCTTTTATACATATATTGAACACAATTGGGGTCAAATTCTTTTAATGACAGGTGGGTTGCTTTATCTAAATTGAAAGATTCTGATGATGCTGTACAGTACTACCTAAATGAAAACATATATGAATACCTAAGGGAAGTGTCCTCACAAAAACAAAAATCAGGATAGGAAGCTTGTAGAGTGAGACAATACATCCTACAGTAAGTTTTATTTATGGTTGACTTGTATATGGAATTCCCAAAGGAAATTAAGCATTAGGGGCTTTGATAGTTGATGTGATTTAATACAGATACTGTAGTTAATATATTATAGCAATTTAATTGCAGTTAGCCCTAATGAGAAAATGTTTAGGATGAATGATTCGGTGATTGAGGAGTTTATTCCCATGGTAGCATTAAGGATTTTGGGGGATATTTAGGCAGTCTGAGCAGTACTATGACTGGAAGGCTTCATGAATAAAATAATAGGCAATTTGAAGATGCTGATTAACTTTGACAAGGCTATTTATAGTCAATGAGTAGACAGGAGATGGGCCCAAGAGTTTAAACTTTAACCACTTCCCTAATACCAGGAAATCTAAATAATAATTCAGTTACTTCATATGATGTTAAGACACATCACAGGATGTGTAAAGATTTAAATTCTACCACTGAAATGAAGGAAAATACAAAAATGTTCTTTATAAGTCCTTTAAAAACAGCAGGATTTGAAAATAAATGAAACTCTGTGCACCACCCTGGAGGTCTCTCGTATAGTTGCTAGCAAGGGAGTTAGCTGGTGCTTACCCTAACTGTTGACTGATGCGGCAGTGTTATGCCAGAATAGGAGGTAAACTGCTGAGTACTGTACTGTTCTGTACTATACTTTAAAATATGAGAATTAATATTCAGATTCTTGGACTATAACCCTGTGTTTTTTAAATATACAGTATGTTTTATAGCATAAAATATTAATACCCAATGGTTTTTTGCCATAACTACTGTGCAGTGCAAGAATTTGTTGACTTGTTCATGCTAATATATAGCTTTCCTTGACAAATTCAGTAAGTACTTGCAGAATTCAATTACTTAATAATTTTACTGACAAACCACAAATAGATTCAATTATCCAATGGTTTTCTGGTGGCACCCATTCCTTCAGGCTTGGCACATGACCCATACATTGAAAACCAACCAAAAAGATTTTATTCAAATTGAAGTCAATGACTTACCCATACCTAAATCAATTTTTAGTATGGTCATTCTTTCTTATGAATGTTGATATTAGAGTAATAAATTTTATTATTCAATGGTTTTAGGGTGGCACCCATTTTTTCAGGCTTGCCACACGACTCGCACATTGAAAACTCGCCAAAAGATTTCATACTAACCAGATTAAAGTGATATGTAAAAGAGATATGGTCTCAAATAAAATGAACCCAAATCTGCAACAAACAATTCTGTATTCACTGATTTTAGATACACAAAACCTCTAGGAACAAGTTACTGTGTAAATTTTGGGGGCCAATTGTATGCTTAGCAATATTGGAGATTATTTTTATATAACTTCCCAAAATCATCAAAATATTCTTGGACACTTTTATAGTTGATAATGTTTATTTTCCAGATAGTGTCTGATTACAGTAGTCCCTTCTGTATCCGTGGATGATAAGTTCCAAGACCTACTATGGATGCCTGAAACCTCATATAGTAGCAAACCCTACATATAAGTTTTTTGTTTACATACGTACCTCTGATAAAGTTTAATTGATATGTTATGCATAATAAAACATTACATTGTTGATGGTTGGGGATTGTTGACAGTGGACATGGTTTGTTTTTCAACCCTTTGGAAAAATATCGTGATACAAAGTTTTCTTTTTCTTGATCTTGTCAAACATTTGCTGGAGAGGTTCTAATGCTTCACTGATTATACAGGTATCTTTAATGCTGTGTTCCATCATGGGATTGTAATTCATGATTTTTCCTTTAAAGTCTGTGTATTCCAAAACACTTCGCCAAATTTTTCCAAAGTCCACATTGCTGGTTCTGTTTCAGTTTCTTCTTCCTCTGTCGATGACCTGACAAGCTCTTCTAATTCCTCATTTGTCAACATTTCTCTATGTTCTTCCAATTCTTCATCAATCATATTGACAAATCCCTCTCCACCAACTTGTCTTGCTAAGTGAATGATTTTCTTCACCTCTCCATTGATAGCCAGGAAGCCTTTAAAACCATTCGTGACCTCACTTCATAAGTTCTTCCAACAGGCATTGACAGGGTGGGAAGGCTTCACCATGTTACTCACAATGGTGCGCAATTTACAACTTATGAATTGTTTATTTCTGGAATTTTCCACTTAATATTTTCGTGCCACGGTAAACCACGGAAACCAAATATGTGGATACAGGGGCTCTACTGTACTGTGTGAAGACAAGCAATTTTAATACTGTAATATACCAGTATGGAGTATTTCATTGATGTAACTAATTTCCTGTGTAATGTATTTGATAACATAAATGTAAGGAGCACATGGGGCTGCTCTAAGGACTGAATTGTGCAATTTTCACTTACTGTGAAATTCATCATACTTTAGGCTCTTCATTATAGCTCATACAATAATGATAGGTGGAGGGAAAGTAATGGTGTTTGCTACACAATTTGTATAAATTAAAAGTGCATGGTATAATATGAGCTTTGGATAAAAAGTTAAATATACTACTATCCCACAGTTAAAGAATGGTCATTAGAGGAGTACATGTACTTAACCCCTTCAGGGTCCAAGGCCCAAATCTGAAGTGGTACCCCAGTGTCCAAGAATTTTCAAAAAGAAATTTTTTATTTTTTCTTATGTAGAGAATCTTTTTGTGAAGGTAATAAAACAAAAAGTACGAAATTTGATGGAAAATTGACGAAATTATGCTCTCGCGAATTTTGATGTGTCAGCGATATTTATGAATCGGCGATTTTGCCGACTTTGACTCCCATTTTAGGCCAATTACATTATTCCAGTCAACCAAATTCTTAGCTATTTCACTAGTATTACTTCTATTCTATCGATTGAGCACAAGAAATCGCCAAGTCAAATGTTTCAACTACAAATTAAAGTGATCGGAAATTGTTAATTTGGCCAATTTAACACAAAGTTCAAAATATTCCAATTTCAAAATAGGGTCCAGAATAAACAATGTAGGTATTCCTGGAACTAAACTAACATTTCCTCTGTTCATTAGTTATATTTTGAGGCTTTACAAATAATTTTGATTTTTTATTCACATAATGAATTTTTATTCACACCAAAAAATAGAAGATTTACTGTTATGCAAGACTGTAATAATTGTGTAAATATCATCACCATATTTGTGAATGCATATTAGACCCACCAGCTGGCGTGTATTAGACGTGTGAGGTTGTTTGTTTACTCTTGAATGTCGGCAAAAATTTAACATTTCTGCTACTTTAAGCTCATTTTCAAGCCATTTCCAGTGCTAAAACCAATCAAAATCATCTCTATTTCTGTAATATGTCTTCCATTCTATCAAATGAGACCAAGAAATCGCAAATACAACTATAAAAAACATACGAAGAAACACTTCAAAGTCGCTGTTTTAATTGAAAAATCATGATTTCAGTTTTTTTTCCTCTCATTATACACAGTGTGCTGCAGGATCTGTTTTATGTGGTGCACACATACCACATAGATGTATTCTCTCATATCTAGGCCCAAATGTACCACTCACAGTTTATCAGAGTGAGCTGAGCTCATGACGTAGATCTACGGTTTGGACCCTGAACGTAAAGCCGTAGATCTACGGGACGGACACTGAAAGGGTTAATTGTTAACTGGTAATTGATATCTGAACTGGCTTATGGAAATTCGGATTACTCTCAACTGCAACTTCCCCACCCCCTGAATCTCTAAACAAAAGTTATCTTGCTCACACTCCAATGGCATGTCCATTAAAAACCATTTAGTCTCCATTACCTCCCAACATGCTCACACAAGCCTGCTGGATGCTCAAGCCTCCTGTAGTACACCCTCTCCATTCCTAAGATGACCTCACCTCTCCTATCTTCCACCCCAGATTTATAAACCCTTTGTCATTCTCCTCTCCATCTTTTGTATATACACAAGCCACCTCAACAATCCCTCCTCAGCCCTCTGAATTATACCCTTGCTGATCTATCACTTATTCAGTATATACTGTGGTAATTAAAATGCTGATAAACTGTTAAGGTTGGGGGAGTTTCACCAATGAGGCTTTTGCAATTTTCATGCATATCTGAAATAAATGATAACATGGAATAAGTTTCTATGTTCTATATAATACAGTATACGTATATAGTTATTGTTTTGCAGCTGAATTTTTAGCAATATTATACATTATGTAGAAGCGATTCAAAGAATTGGTAAAGATGCTTACAATCATGAGCCTTTAAATAATGATCATTACTGTAGAGACCATGGTCCATCAGTAACACTTTCATAACCTAAAATACTATGAATAATCTTGTAACCTGACTGGGCAAATGAGACGTTACTTATGGAATACTGTATGTTCACTCTTATAATGCTAAGAACCTTTAATTGTACATTCTTCTCTGATAAAACATGTTTTCATAGGCATTTTTAAGGTAAATTTTAATTGCTCTACAGTTCTCTACAGTTGTCTCATTGTTTTCTGTGTAGGTAAATGTATATTTCATGTAAAAAAAAATATTTTTTTTTTAATACTTTTGGGTGTCTGGAACAGATTAATTGGATTTACATTATTTCTTATGGGGAAAATGAATTCGGAAATCGTCAGATTCAGGTTTAGTCACTCTCTCAGGAACGGATTAATTACGATAACCAGGGGTCCAATGTATGTATGTATGTATGTATATTATGTATCTTCTTTCTTTCAACACACCGGCCGTATTCCACCGAGGCAGGGTGGCCCAAAAGGAAAAACAAAAGTTTCTCCTTTCACATTTAATAATATATACAGGAGAAGGGGTTACTAGCCCCTTGCTCCCGGCATTTTAGTCGCCTCTTACAACACGCATGGCTTACGGAGGAAGAATTCTGTTCCACTTCCCCATGGAGATAAGAGGAAATAGACAAGAACAAGAACTAGAAAGAAGATAGAAGAAAACCCAGAGGGGTATGTATATATATGCTTGTACATGTACGTGTAGTGTGACCAAAATGTAAGTAGAAGCAGCAAGACGTACCTGAAATCTTGCATGTTTATGAGACAGAAAAAAGGACACCAGCAATCCTACCATCATATAAAACAATTACAGGCTTTCGTTTTACACTCGCTTGGCAGGACGGTAGTACCTCCCTGGGCAGTTGCTGTCTACCAACCTACTACCTATTATAATATAATATATATATATATATATATATATATAATATATATATATATATATATATACACATACATATATATATATTATATATATATATACACATACATACATGTATATATAATTCTTATTGGAATGTGGATGTGCTTTTATTGGGAAACTGTACAGTGAAACCTCTATATTTGTTGGGTTACATTCCTAGAGACCTCAGAAATATGAGGCATTTTTATTACCAATTTCCTACATATGGAAAAAAAAAAATTTATAATGCTTGACTTATTTTTACCCTCCCACAAAGGTACAGTAACTTGTAAAAGTAAAACAATCATTCAATAACTGTTCTATCAGAAGTGTGCAGTCATTATAATTCAAATGATCCTCTGAACTGCAACATCAAATTCCTGTTAGAGTGCAGGCACTGTGCTTCCCACCTCCAGAATTCAAGCCCAACTTACCAGTTTTTATGAATCCCTTCATAAATATTACATTGCTCACATTCCAATAAAAAAAAGCCACTTGCCTTCACTCATTCTGATCTAACATGCTCACATGAGCCTGCTGATGCTGGAACCCCCTAGAACTCAAAACCTTCATCCCCTCCCTTGAATTTTTTGTGGGACAACCCCTAATTTATACACCCTTTAAGTTATTCTAATCTGCTGGAGCTTCCCTGCAAATGACACCTCAACAACTCCCTCCTTTACCCTCTGAATGTAACTTACACAGTCTTCCATTTTCTATGCTTTGAATTCTCTGCATGCTATTCTTTCCTGCACAAACCCTCCTATAACTCCAGACTTTTCCTGTGAACTCTAGCACTACATTCTTAAATGTAACTCATCACTCTTCAATCTCCTCATTACCTGTAATCTCTCTAGCCCACCTTTCTTCCAACAGTTACTTATATCTTCTTCTGTCTCTAGTTCATTCACTTTCACTTTTCTATCACCCACTGATTCCATTCTTGTTCTCTATCGGCTTCTTACTGTGTCTATACCACTAAATATTGATCTGACACATTAGTTGCTCCTCTAAATAAACTCACATTCAGAACTCTACTATCAACCTTTTCTCTAATAATAAATAGTCTACCAAACTGCTGTCAATTTCACACATGGCAGGATAGTAATGCTTTCCTAAGCAGCTGCTGTTTACCAGACTACCAAATGGTCATATAGTGTGCAAAAGAAATTCATTTGGTGAAAAAACAGTGGAGAAAAAATATTCTGAATTTAGCCATAAATCCTCAAAAGTTATTTTAATAGCAAGAGAGGAGAAACCATTTTCCTGAGAGGCTGAATCTTTTGTAGATGATTTCTTTAGCGAAAAACACAAGTTTGTGTGTAAGGGTAAAGCAAATATGGAAGTCTCACTAATTTCTGAGATATATGTAATCTCTTACTGGCATGTATACATGCCATACTGGATTGCATATATTTTCTTACATATAATGCCATACTGGAATGCATATGTTCTCTCACCAGGATATGAAAGTCCTAATTATATGCCCTTACTAGGATGTACAGTATATATACCTTCACTGAAATGCATATACAGTATTTCCTTATTGGGATATATACACGTATAGTATACCATTACAGGGTTACATGCATGCTTTTACTGTGATCTGTACAGAAGTATGCAGGTCACTCCAGCAAATACTGTACTGTTCATACTAATGAATATTATAAATAAAATATTCACTGATATGTATTTGCTCAAGTTACATGCATACTTGTAACTTAAATACTTGGTTATTGTGGCATGATGAGGTGTATTAGTTTTTCAATGAAGTAATAACTCTCAGTGTTTTAAATAGGAAATTTGTAGGAGATATTAAGGAGCCTATGCATCTTTGATTTTGCTAGATATTTGAAATACTCAAAAGAAACAAAAAAGATATTTAATTGCTCTCTTCATTTTGGCTATGTTGGTTTGTATTATAACATAACTAACCAATTTCATTTGTTTAATAACTTGAAATGTATGTATGACTTTTTGTTGGTCATATGGCAAACAAATTCTCTTATTTATGTTGTGATCATTTAGACAAAAAAAATCTGAAATTTGACTTTTCTAGTAATATGGAATTAAAACATTAATATATTGATACAGTATTTCATTATTTGCTACATCAAGCACACTTTTTTTTAGATTAAGATATAGATATAAACAAACAAACACACGTGTATATGCATGCAGGCATGTGTGTGTGTTTTATATAATTACATTTTATTTATTATCACTGTCTATAATTCTAAGCTCCTGAGATGACAATATGTAGTTGTAAAATCTAATTTGTATTGATACAGCTTACATACATTAACAACCATAAATTTATAAGCAACTGTAGTTGATAAAGACACACAGGCAGTAACTGAAAACTTATTTAAGACGATTAAAAGTGCTACCTGTTCCTTTATCATTTGAAATTTGTTGGTATTCCCATATCATCTACCACTGCTACAAGTGGTTGTTCATGGGTGTAGAGTTGTCCAGGGTGTTAGTCATATCCTATTAATTTTTTTTGTAGTCCATGATGTCCCACATCTATTAGAGAGAAGATAAAGGAGTATTGTTTGAGGATATTCTTGCAGGAATATATTTTGTTCCCAATATGTGAGTGTTTTTACTAAAGATTTTATGTCAATAAGTAAAGGGTATAAGTAGATTGGATAGGACACCCCACCATTGTCAAAGCTCCCAAAATTTGCTATGTACAGTACAATAAAGAATTTGTAGCTTTTCCAGATGAACATTTTTCCATTGTAGTTCTCCTTCATATTTATGTCTGAACATTCTTGGTGTCCTTACACTGGGATAATTTTAGTATCCTGCACAGTAATAACCAATAGCTCAGTGATACTTTACAGGGAATGAAGTGTGTGCCAATCTGACAAATTTGTTGATGTCTTTGTAGCCAATTTACTTTTCAGGATTGTCATTCCACTTATTATAATACTTAGATAAGGCTGTATAAAATATTAAATATTAATTTCATACAAAGATGCTTTTAGAACATATATTACAATGTATGTTTGGGATATTGTCATGTTTGGGCTAAGTGAGCTAGTTTAGCATATGAGAGCATGATAATTATCACTCTTTATTATTGACTTTGTAATACTGTATATCCTCATAATAATTATATTTTTCCCTCTTGGTAGGATCACCAATGCTACATGTGATCATCTACAGGTTTTTCTTGCACTAGTCATATCTAATGAAATATACTTTGTAGTGAATTATAATAAAGTACATATGTATATACAGTAGGATTTTTTCTCCTTTTTTGCAAGTTTAAACATTTTTTAATGCCATTGTCATTAATGATATTAAAATGCAATGGTGTTTCAAGTTAGTTTCTTAGAATTAAAAAGAAGAAAGCTATTCCAGTGATTTAAAAGCCAATCTAACAAATGTTTTCCTTCAACAGTTTTTAATCTTACCATTAGCATTGTTGACACAGTATGGTAAACTTCTTTCTTTCAACACACCGGCCGTATCCCACCGAGGCGGGGTGGCCCAAAAGAAAAAACGAAAGTTAATCCTTTTATATTTAGTAATATATACAGGAGAAGAGGTTACTAGCCCCTTGCTCCCGGCATTTTAGTCGCCTCTTACAACACGCATGGCTTACGGAGGAAGAATTCTGTTCCACTTCCCCATGGAGATAAGAGGAAATAAACAAGAATAAGAACTAGAAAGAAAATAGAAGAAAACCCAGAGGGGTGTGTATATATATATATGCTTGTACATGTAAGTGTAAGTAGAAGTAGCAAGACGTACCTGAAATCTTGCATGTTCATGAGACAGAAAAAAAGGACACCAGCAGTCCTACCATCATGTAACACAATTACAGGCTTTCGTTTTACACTCACTTGGCAGGACGGTAGTACCTCCCTGGGTGGTTGCTGTCTACCAACCTACAACCTATGAGTATGGTAAACATTCTAATAATATAAATGAAGATGCATTATCATTTAGTACATATACCAGATAACAGTAAACTGCTTTATCTGGGCAAAACCTGAACAATGAAGAAAATTACACTGTTCTCCACAAGGGAGACATCTCAGAAGAGGTTCATTGATGCTGGTGAGGGGCTCTTGATCTAGCAAATTTGATCTGTGCTCCAGTTCCCTGAATTGAGCCTGAATGCCTTCCATGCCCCTTCCCCAACAGACACTGTATAATCCCTATGGGTTTAGCACTTCCCCATGATAATAATGATCCACAAGAGAGGTTCTTTGATGCTGTCGAGGGGCACTCGATCCAAGGAATTGGACTTGTGTTTCCACTGGGTCGAACATGATTCCCTCTTATTCCTCAGGCACTATATGACCTCTATGGGTTTAATGCTTCCCCCTAAATATAATTACTGCAACAATGATTCGAATTTTGCATACCAAGCCCCACAACTAACCCCTACCTATCACACACTCTTACCACAGCACTGTATGACCCATACAGGTTTAGTGCATATATTACAGTACTATTATTTACTAATTGTGCAGTGGTGTGGTTATATGTAAAGTATACAATACAGAAATCCAAGAAAATTTTTGTTATGGAAAAAAGAAGTCGTCCAAATAGCACAGGTAAGTACATACTAATGAAAGGTTTTAAACTTATGAAAAGTGGTAAATCCACTAAACAGTAATTATACTGACAAGCACTAAAATCGATACTGAACTTGAAGTTTGAGAAGTCTTGGAAATATGGAATGATTGTTTAAAAACTGCTCAGTTAATATATGTTAGGAATGAAAGAATGCTGTTAAGTATTTCTTATCCAGAACTAATTAAATAATTGTTGCTCAGATCTTTAAGCTTTCCACAGGTTCAAATTGCTATAAAACTACATAAACTATGGCTTTATATTATGCAACACTTTTTCTGTGGTGGAGGAATTAGTGTCCATAAATACCCTGTAGTTCAAGTCTGCCCTTTTCTTACTTCTGAAAGTCTGTCTTCTCTGCCTTGGACTCATAATAATAATAATATCTTTAT